CCCCAAATCCGACAAACTTGCTGTTGCCAAGCCAAGCACTGGAACGGTTCCCAGCATGTCGTAATATGTTAACCCTCGCCACACACTCTTCGTCACAACAGCAACCTTCTGAAACCATTTTATTCTTTCCTCGCTTTTCTTTTGGAACCAACCGGTCAGGAAACGATTCTTTCTCCCTTTTTGCTACTCTATCATTCGGCTTGGGGTTTGGGCGCTTGGACGCATCATACCTTGAACTGTCCTCCAGCTTCATCAATCAGTTGATGGTCTCACATCTATCCCGGCGTATCATGGCTGTTCCTTCAATTATCATCCATCTATCTATACGACATCTAGTGCACAGCCGACACTTCCTTGTGTTGTGTCCGGTAATGTGCGTCGCCACTTCCTCGGTGCTTTTGGGCGTTGCGCGGGCCTGTGGTGGGCGGTCATTCCATTCGGCGGTTCTGTTTCGACAACAGCGAGAAGCGATGCATTGGCGGTCGCTCACCTACTTCTAGAGGTAGGTAGGCTTGCTCTCGCTTGATTACCAACCTACCTATCTCTACTGGCTCAGCACACATCGATCTCCCGCCCATTATCGATTTATGGCATCGACCTCGGCGCAAACTGGACCAACTTCCAACTTCCCGCTTCGAGGCCTCCCTCGCTCGGCTCTTGATTTCGGTTCTCATGGCGGCTACTTTCAGTGGACTTCATCTAACCAACCGCAACTGCTGCATCGCAATCCAGCTGAATAGCTTCTCGACATTTGGTCACCGCAACTTCCACATGGCGCTTGCAACTTCGCCTGCAACATATCCGACACTACCAGGACTTCAGCACACTCAGCTGCCTGTTTAGCGGATGACTGCGAAACCGACCGGGTTTCGCTTTCCTGCTTCGGGTACCGAATTTTGCCAAACCATTCCGCCACATCCCCAAAATCAGGAGTCACAAAAGCACCGACATAAAACAGCTTTCACAGTTCCAGGTTCAGCGCGCAGACATAAAGGGGAAAAAGACTGACTCGCAGAACATGCTACCGGCACACCTCAAATGGACGCAAAAAGGTGGTGCAGCGACATGAGCAATCAGACACGGTTGGCAGAGCAAAGATCTCGTCACTGATGGGATGACGCGGGACGCATTTGCACGCGTTGGACTTGATCACGACACAACAAAAAGCCTGCTTTTTTTTGCAACGAGACTCAAAACCAGGAGGGACGGGATCATCACGGGCAAAACAAAAGCGATACAAAGCGAGCCTCGTAAGCGTCACCAAAGGTAAGCGCGCCCTCCCTTTTCGCCCGCTTTGACATGTTTTATCAGGCTGCGAGTCCTGTCGGATGCCGTGTCGAGCCTTGTACCGGTACCTGTATCAAAATTTGGCGGGTCTGGATTGGCTCGTTGCCGTGGATAGTGCCTCATATCCCTGTCAGATTGCGTTTTCAGACCACGAGCCTCGTTTATGACTCATAACGTGTGCCCGGCCCCAGCGATTTTCATGGAAAATCACCAAAAAAAAAAACTCGTTTCCCTTCCGAACTCGCAAATTTTTCTTTCGGCTTTTCTTCGTCTTCTTCCCCCCCCTTTGCGACTCCCAGGTCACGCCATGCCCGTATTTGCCTCGGATGTCGGGTACCACGGACACCGAAGTTCAGTCGTGTCGTGTCGACAGTCGTTGCTGTTTGTTGCAAACGGCTTGCGTTGAAACCTGTTTCACCTGCAATCTCTTTTTTTTTCCTGGCCGTTTGTGGTGATGTGCTTGTTGAATGGAAACGAAAGCGGAAAAAAAGGAAAAAAAGAAAAAAAAAAATCAAAGTGGGAAGTAAGCCGGGTGTAGGCAAGCTTGTGCAAATGGTGTTGCCAAGTAATCAAAAGAAAGTGCACAAAAAGGCGACAGCGCCCAGTTCACATGCGAGATGGTTGCATAAGAATCAGCCAAAGGGTTGCATAACTGCCGCAATTGATTGGACACAAGCGGTCAGCCAATGATGTCGTAAAGGACCCGACGGCACAGTTGCGGCGGAGCCTTTGATTGCAAAGTCGTAATATTTGGTAATTACCGCAGCTCACAGGCGAGTGTACTGTGTACTGTGTACGCGATGGTCGCTCTTTTTGACCAGAAGCCTATGCAGACAATCTCGCAAGGACAGAAGTCTGGCCGTGATAGAACTTCCAAGTTCCAAGCACTATTTCAGCAACTGAAGGCAACAACCTTGCCTTGTTCGTGTTGTTGTTCATGTTGCTGTCGCAAATGTGTTCTCCAAGCAAAAGTGAGAAACGAACAGAAAGCGGTGGAATGTGGACTCTCATTCCCGTCTTTCACCCCGCTCATACCCACCTCCCACTACTCCCACCCACCAAAAAGCGCGCCGGCCAACAGTGCAAAAAGCGAAAGCCCAGCTGTGAGCGCTGTTGGTTCCCCGCCAGTGCGATCGCAAGCTGATTGGTCAAATATTGATAGTTGCTTGAACTATGTACAAACCGCGTCGTGCTTGGTTTCACCGCCGTATTGGAAGACGCGAATGAGCGCGTCCAGATTTCAAGGTTGGTCCATTGATACCCCTGATTAGACTCGATGACATATCCATCTCGCTGCAACTCTTTGGTGCCATCGTCTCTTTCCTTGACAACTTAACTCCGTCGTTCTGCAGATTGATAATGTAGGTAGTGTACAGTCGAGACCCCTGAAACTGCATGTAATTCAGACCGCCAAAATCCATGCACTAAATGGCGTATATGCAGTTTCTGGAGGCGGGGCTAGGGCAAAAATGGCGAATTCTGACCTGGAAATTCTATGCACTAACTAGCATATATGCAGAATCTGGAGGATGCAGTTTCAGGGGGTTCGACTGTATGTATCTTCACCGACTGCTGCTGCTCATCACAACCCGCCAGTCGCGGTGAGTGGTGTGTGAACATCGCCAGCTCATACATACTCACGCGTTTTTGTTTTCTTCTTTCTGTTGAGTTTGCTAATCGTCAAAATGTTTCGATGGGTCATACCATTTCAGGCTCTACATATTTGATTAATGTTTTGTGATGCTCATATCGCGGTAATTATTTTTAATCCATTTCCTTTCCTTTTGTCTCGTGATCTGGAACAACTGGGTACCGATGCCGGATACCATGCATTGCAGCTTTGACACATGACATCGATGTAGTCATTCACTCACTGTGATCCCAACAGAACAGAACGACAATGACAGCTGGACGGACGGGGCTAATAATAACGTGACATCGCTCATCGTAGTGTACTTGACACGTTCACAGAACAGGGTGAGGTTCCGGATGGTTCTGGACCAACCTCTGGAGCCGCGGATCGTGACATGGGTTAATGGGAAAAAAAAAAAGGGTCCAGCGTGGACAACGTGGAGGCCTGTCCAGGACAGTGATCATGAAGGTTGTCGTCAGGATAAGGTGCTTGGGGGTGAAAAGAGTATCTTTAGTAACAACGAACCACGTGTGCACGTGGGCTGGCTGGCAGGCAGGCAGGCTGGGTTGTTTTCGAACGGATAACCTCATCCTATCGGCTAGGTATGTACCACCACGTATATCGACATGGAACTTGCTCATCATCAGCAGGATCACGACTGATTGGGAGAGAGGGCAGGCAGCTTGACTTTGACTTCTCAATAGGCAGGGAGGGAGGGGTCTTGTTCATCAGCGGGTGGCATGCTTCAGCTTCATGTTCACCGTCCATCAATGGCCTTCAGGAGCAACATCTTGGTCGTTCTTTTCAGCTCAAAGTGCTCAGCGAAGCAAAAAGACATCAGAGTGAGCATACCTTATAAGCACATTGACAATGGAAGCTGAAAGACCTAAAGGTTAATTACCGAGTACATTACATACTTATATAATTACTGTCAGCTCACAGACTATATATGTATCTGAAACTCCTATTTACGGATTCGTCGTCTTCTCTTAACGTCAACCCCACCTGTTCACCTAATCACCTCTCTATCGTCTTTTCCTCTTTACTTTTCCTGTCTTCTTGGGTATCTTTACGTCTTCATCACTCCTCTCTTGAGCTTGCGCTGTAACCTATGTTCACTTCGTTTTATATAATCTTTCCTTCCCTCTGACATACCGCATGACACTTTCGCATTTGCCAGTTCTGCTATTAAACCTCCATTGAGGAAGTTGAAGACGTGCGTGATGGTATTGATCCCTCGGTTTCGCTATACCTCTTCTGAGGATTCACCGGAAGATGAAAGAAGATGTCGAGACTCTGGGATTCCTCTGGGGAATCATGTATGTGTACGGTATGTACTTACGCAAAGGAGGTATACATACATACATACAGTGGGTGGATGAGTGTATGTGACTGGTAGGTATGTCCCTTATTCGATTACTAACTGTTGTTCGGGTTTTCCACGTTAGTTTGTGTACAAAAGAACTGGCGCATAACTGAACATAAACAGCATGGTGGCATACATAGGTAGCGAGAAACAAAAGATCTAACTGTTTGACGTCAGAAAGCTACCTCTATGTACGTACCTAACTATATAAGTAAGCCTTGGTCTATCAACATACCTACCTTCTCGTGGATTCTCAGGTGTCAATGGCATGATCTACATTTTTTTTTTTTCTTTTTTTTTTTTTTTTTGGAAACTAACCTCGACAAAATCAGTCAAGTAGGACGGTTTCAAGAATTCGGATTAATGATCGTCTCGCTGGGGATAACATTTCGTAACAATGGGGTAACAAACACAGAGAGGGATACATATATAGTTATGTAGACTTGGTAGTTATCGCAGTTCATGATCTTTATACATAAGTCCATAGTCGAGAACAGTGAAGCACCCTTGATCCAACTCTTGAAGCTCTCTCTTTCCATGTGTCGGTTATCTGCCGGTCACCACCACCACCGCCCACCATTGTTGGTATGCCTCCTTAATGAATATCCCCGTCCGTTTCTTTCTAGATGAGATGCGCCCAAAGAGGGCGACGCACCTGATATACATTTAGTTTGTCTACTATGAACATCAATAAACAATATTGCCGGAGCGAATGGAGAAACGACGATTAAATTTCCAGATGTGACCCCCTTCAAATGCTTCCTCATTATCATTATCATCATCATCTCATCATCAATTGCCTATGCCCAAAACTTTTGTTCGAGTTGTTATGCAGAGTACACTAACAGGAATATTCTATCCAAAGTGCGTTTTTTGCATCAAGGCACCTCCAACCCAAGAAACGAATATAATATGATACATAACCAAGAACCCCTTGCTCGAAAAGAAAAATCATATATTTCTTCCTTTCTCATGTCATGTAGTACTTGGGACCCTCACCACCCTGGGGTACCTGCCAGTTGATATCCTGGTTGGGAGCCTTGATGTCGCAGGTCTTGCAGTGGATGCAGCTATTTTTTGTGTACACTTCTGTTAGCAAAACTCCTTGGTTCCTTTATCATCTCATCGCATCATGGGGAAAGGAAAACTCACTTCTGCGCATTAATCTGAAACCTCACGCCCTCCTTCTTCGTCGCGTCCTCCACATACTCATACACACCGGCAGGGCAGAACCGATTCTCGACGCCCTTGTACTTGGGATACGTCTCCTTGGTGTGCTGATCCCAGTCCTTAACCTGGAGATGCACAGGCTGGTCCTCCTCGTGGTTGGTGCCGGTCCTGGACACACTAGTCAAGATGTCGAAAGTGATCTTGCCGTCGGGCTTGGGGTACTCGATCTTCTCGCACTCATCGGCCGGCTTGGTGGCCTCGTGGTCGCGTACCTTGTGCTTGAACGTCCAGGGCACGCGGCCCTTGAGGAGGAAGGCGTCGATGCCCGAGTACATGATGCCGCCGTAGAGACCCAGAGGCGAGTGGAAAGAGGGGCGCATGTTGCGGACTTCCTTGAGTTCCTTCCAGATGGACGAGTTGCGCAGCGAGTCCTCGTACGAGTAGAGGAAGACGGACCCGGAGTCATTGGTGTCCTGCAGGGCGTCCCAGGCGGCGTTGGCCGCGAGCATGCCGGACTTCATGGCGTTGTGGGTGCCCTTTACCTTGGGCACGTTGACGAAGCCGGCCGAGTCGCCGATAAGGGCGCCACCGGGGAAGGCGACCTTGGGGATGGACTGGAAACCACCCTCGATTAGGGCGCGGGCACCGTAGGAGATGCACTTGCCGCCTTCGAGGTAGTGGCGGTAGAAGGGGTGCTGCTTCATCTTCTGGAACTCGCCGTAAGGGGAGAGCCAGGGGTTGGGGTAGTCGAGGGCGGTAACGAGACCGATGGAGACGAGGTTGTCGCCAAAGTGGTACATCCAGGCGCCGCCGTAAGTGTTGGCGGGCAGCGGGTAGCCCATGGAGTGGAAGATCTCACCCTTCTTGAACTTCTCGGGTTGGATCTCCCAAACCTCCTTCACGCCGAGACCGTAGGTTTGCGGCTGGCTGTCGCGGCGCAGGTCATACTTTTTGATGACCTGCTTGGAGAGGGAGCCGTGGCAGCCCTCGCCAAAGAGGGTGACGCGGGCGTGGAACTCCATACCGCGCTCGAACCGGTCCGTGGGCTTGCCATTGCGGCCGAGACCAAGATCGTTGGTAGCAACGCCCTTGACGGAGCCATCGGACTTGTAGAGAACTTCCGAGGCAGCGAAGCCGGGATAGACCTCGACGCCGACCTCCTCAGCGCGCTCACCCAGCCACTTTGTAAACTCGGAAAGGGAAACGATGTAGTTGCCCTTGTTGTGCATCTGCGGCGGGGTGGGAACCCAGAAGGCACGCTTCTCGGTCAGGAAGCGCATGGTGTCGCCGCCAGCGGGGGTGGCGCCGGTGAAGCGGTTCGGGTTCTCCTCGTCGAGCCAGTCGGGAATCAGCTCCTTGATGCCGGAGGGCTCGATAACGGCACCGGAGAGGGTGTGGGCGCCGATCTCGCCGGCCTTTTCGAGAAGCAGAACGCGGAACTCGTCGTTGCCGGCCTCGTTGGCGAGCTGCTTCAGGCGAATGGCAGCGGCGAGACCGGCGGGACCACCACCAACAATGCACACGTCGACCTCATCGCTCTCGCGCTCGATGCTGTTGGGGTCGAAGGCGTCGTCAGCGACATCGGCAAAACGGCGTTGGGTTGTCGTCGAGAGGGCGGCGGCTTGTCGTGTTCTTAGGAGAGGGTTGTAAGACTGGCGGGCGACATTGGGTCTCCTTGTGGATCGCGAAGCGGGGGAGATGTTGTTGATGGTGGGTGTCGAAAGGGTCCTCAGGCCGCGGGTGGCCTGTACCGAGGTGATGCCGGCGGAACCAGCCTGCCGGTAGAGGCACGACGTGATGCGTGCGGAGGTCGACATTGTATATTATGGGCGTCGGGTCTGTGTGTCGTTTGCCCGGCCAGTTGGTTTGGTTGCGTGGTCGCTGGGACTGATTATATCGGGGGAACAGGCGGAGGAGTAAATCGGAGAGAGACAGAGAGAGGGGGGAAAGTTGGTGACTGTATGACTCCGAGGAGTGTGTGGAGTAAACAAATCTGGTACAGCGAACATCATATGATTATAAGTCACATTATGAACTTTTTGAAGACAGACGTCGACAATAACGGAGGACAGGAGGAAGGAGTCGGATGCGTACCTGACTGACTGTAGTATGTCAAAGTCAGAAGAATAATGGGTATAAAGAGGGGAAATCAATTTCTTCGCGACAAGCTGCTCACTCTGAGATCCCTGAGCCAGACAACCAACCAAGACAGAAAAAAAGAGAAAAAAAGGGAAGACTCCGGAGGAAGACGAAAAAATCACGAGCGGAAACGTTGGACCGAGACCTTGGCAACGACACCGGCGATGCTACTAGTACTGTAGTGTATAACAGCCTCAACAGATCCGACTTTGTAGCGTCAAAGTTAATTATCAAGAGTCCACTGTAGTCCACTGTAGTGTACGCAAGAACGTCACTTCATTCTTTTCATTCCCCTGCAGGCAATGTTTTGTTCCCTTCCCCGCAACCAAAGAGTTGTGAATTTCTGATCTCCAACCAACAAAAGATCCACGGGACGGGACGTGACCGGTGCGAACTCGCAATGACGTCCCTGCTGTACCGGCCAATTAGAGTCTAGCAATTTGAAAATGCGGTCTGTGCGGCTCCGGCATAGGGAATCTCATGTACCTTTGTGCCTGCCTTTCAATTGTTGTGTTCCTATCAATGAACCCCACCTTCTTCTTTTGACTCTTTCCTTTTTGGTGTGTAGGGGACTTTAATACCCGACCTGCCCTGCTGTCCTCACGACACGCCGAGGGTAGCCGAACAATAACCTAGGCAACTTTCCTTGCTGATCTTAAGATAGCTGCTGTTATAGGTTCACATGTATGGCCTTCATTATGTATGGTATTCAAACTATAAATAATTTCTTGAAGAAAAAGTTATGTCCAAGAAACATACAAACAGCGTTGTTCAACTTTTGTTTCGTCTCATCTCGTCATGTCGTATCGTATCATATTCATGGACATCATCACCATCCTCATCCACCCACCCTTCCACTTCTCTCCTCCAGCCTCCTCATTATATCAATGGTATATCCTCCACTCATCTGTATCCTTCATCTTCCCCTTTCCCCTATCCCTCCCTCCCACCTGCCCGTACCCCCGTCTCTCACCCTTTCCGCTCTCAAGTCCCTTTTCCCCTTCAATCGCCGAAGTCCGCCTGCCAAGCCTAGCAGACCCCAAAACCGATAGTCAAAAATCATGTTTATTGACATCCGGAATCTGATGCCTCTCATGCCGCGCATTCATCACATCCGCCCAAAAATCATAACTCAGCTCCTTCTGCTTGCGTGCCTTCTCCTCCTCCCTCGCGCGTTTCCTCATCGCCTCCTTCCTCTGCTTGCGCATCTTATTCCTCTCGGGCTCGATTTTCCTTGCCTCCACTTTGATCGCTCTATACCCCTCTTTAATCTTTCCCGTAGTCGCCTTGAAGATCTTCTTGCAAATCCCTTGCACGCGTGATGAGAAAGCGGCGATAAGAGAAGTGAAGATGAGGAAGAAGGAGACGGGAAGCGCGATGGCGCCTATGTACCCCAACGTGGGGATTGTGGAATTTCCGTCGGGGTCGTTGGGGTCGGCGCCGGCGTCGTGCCATTCGCGTGTGTTCATACCGAAGATACCCGTGAAGAAGGAGAGGGGGAGGAAGATGACGGTGAAGGTGGTGAAGATCATGACCGAAAGGTTTTGAGAGGCGGCGAGCTCGGTTTGGAGGCGCGACCACCGGACTTCGTCGACTTGGGCTTGGCGTTGGGCCATTTCGAGCATTTTCTCGTACTGGCGGTTGTCGGATGTTAGTTTGAGAGAGACATGGATGGAAGAGAGGGGAATAGATGGGGAAGTAAACACTTACATCCTTCTTGGTGGTTTCCACCCTCTTCACCATTTCGCTTGTCAGCTGCTTGTACTCTGTCAAATATTCCATGGCCTTGTCGAGATAACCCTGGCCGTTCTTGGTGATCTCCTTCAGACTCGGGTTGTTGTATATCTCCTTGAGCTGGTTAACCACTCCCTCCTGAGTTTCGAACAAGCGGAGAAGCGTCGACAGTTCATCTTCCATGTCTCTCAGCTCCAGCAGCGCCGATGTGTTCTCTCTGTTCTCCTTTTCGGCCTTCTCTAGCTCGCGCTTATGCCGCTCCTTGATCGACAACGTCCTGCCGCCATCGTCGTCGTCCAAGTCGTCAGTTGACGTGCTGATGAAGTTCTGCGTACGGAACCGGCGCATGTTTTGCGTCATTCTCTCAGCCTGTTTTGTTCACGTTAGCGTCGCATACCTTTCATCCCAACATCATTGATACTACATACCAGCAAACCAATAGCCTCCTCAAAAATCCTAAAAATATCCAAATCCCTATGCGTCGACAGCTCCACAAACGCCATCACCGCATGCAACACGATAAACGCCGCCAGATCCAGCGCATTATCCGTCCTGCCCGTCAAATCACCGTTCAGCTCGTTGTACACAATATTCCGCAAGTCCGCCTGCTGGAACAAAGTCCCTTCCTTGGGGCTCGACTCCCTTTTCGGGAAGAAGGTAGCCAGCGTATCATTATCGATCGCCCACAACCAAAGCTGGTCGACCATTAGCAGTTTGCCATCCTTGACGTCACACTCGAAATCGAACTCGGACTCGTCTTCCGAGCAGGTATCGTCGTATTCCTCCCTGTCATGATCAGAGCCCTTGGCGGTGCAGACCGAGGTGACCGCCGACTTTCGGCTAGGCGGGTCAACAGCGAATTTCGAGTGCGCCTTCTCGTTGTGCGCCGATTGATCATGCTTCGTCAGCTTGTATAGCATCTGATCATCATCACGGGCGTGCGTGTCCTTGAGGGACGGGTAAGCGAACTGGTCGAGCGTGCGGCGGCAGTTGAGCGGCGGGTCGAAGCCGATGTACTCCCAGATGACTTTCAACTCGAGCGACTCGAGGTGCTCGACGTACTCGGGAACGGGCTTGGCGCGGCCGTGGTCGAGACGCTTCTCGATAAGCTTGCGCCGGCGGATGATGTTGCAGTAGGTGTCGAAGTGCAGGTAGGGAAGATAGAGGTAGACGCAGCGCGGGCTGGCGGGGAGGCTGACCCGTCGGTCGACGAGAGGGGTGGTGAATGGGGAGGTGGGTAGGCCGGCGTCTGCGGGGACGAGACACGCGAAGGGCTTGAAGAAGGAGGGCTGGGATTGGGCTTGGAGACCTTGCACTTGTTTGGACTGCCAGTGTTCGCGGCTTAGAAGTTTCTGGAGGTTCTGGCCGCGGGTTTCCTCGATTCTCTTGATAACTTCCTATTTTTGGGTTAGCAACAGGCAAGGGGGAGGAGGAAATACACGAGCTAACTGACCTTTGCCCATATAGGATTATTGAACGGGACATGGATCCAGGTAATCTTCTTCTTCGCATGATGTGCGGCGCCGTATCGACCAAAGAGTTCTGGGTGAATCAAGTCCGGCCCAGTGCTACTAACATGATCGACAATCAACGACGGAGCAGAGAAGCTGCCGAGACTGCTGGCATCGCTATCCACTTCCGAGGATGGCCCAGTGCCATCGTCATCGTCTGTTTCTGTTATTACCGTCGAGGACTTGAGCGTGAAAGCACGTGTAAGAAGATGCCGTTTGTGTTGGACCTTGCTCAGCCGGTCTTGCAAGAACGGCTCGGCTCCTTTTTGGAGATACTGGCCAAGTTGGGTTTTGGTTGCGTAAAGCCGAGTGCTGGAGTCCGATTCCGGGTCAGTGTCCTCGTAAAACCCGACTATTTCCACCTTGACATGGTCCTTCAGCCTCAGGGGGTGATGGATATGCTTGCTTAGACTCTTAGCCTTCAGCACAGCCATATGCAAGTCCTCGAGGAAATCATGCATGGTGGAGATGTTGTTGGGCCCAAACGATGCAATGTTGGCATGGCTGTTGTCTATAGCAAAGACATCTTCTCTAGCCAATTCGAGCAACGCAGACTTGACTGACACCAAGGGAGCTGTGAACTTGACTTCACTGGCAAAGTCGGCACCCGTGTTGGAGAGTTCACTGTCAATGGTCTCGTAGAAGGACCAGATGCGGAGTTCACTTGCAATGTCCACAAACTGCTCGTGCACTTTGTCCAGCCAAGGATTGTTGTTGGTATTGACCTTGATCTGGTTGATCAGCGAGTTAGGTAGAGGCCGTTGCAACTGAAGTAACTCGCGGACGCTTTCCCTCAGGTTCCTCATGGACATGTAACTTGAACCCCGATGAGGGGTGGCTGAGTTTGGTTAACAATTTTACTTATAAGGTTGAAAGTGCGGTTAGGAAGGGTCCATACCAAAGAAGCCAACGCCATGGCAATTGTTTCTGATATCCCTGTACCGGCTGTCTTCATGGGCCTTGAGCAAAGCCCGCTTGACTACCAAGCCACCAATGCTATGGGCAATGAAGAAGAGAGGACGAGACGGGCGCTAGGTCGATCAGTCTTGGAAGTTCCAATGAAGCAACAGAAACACGTGGTTCCTGTTCTTGGGTTTTAGGTAGGAAAGGTCTTACCACGCCTTGGCGGATTTGCAGTACTTGATCCAGCAAGTCAACTGCCAGCATGTCGATGTTTATGCCTTCTCTCAATCCTCGATGCTTGTACGCCAGCACCCGAATCATGGGCTCCTTGTTCCGGATTCCCTGTTGAATCCATACATAAGGGGGCCTCGAGGATTTTGGCGTGCCAGGTTTCTCGGGAAAGCCAAAATCCATGTCGGTGACCGGGTCGCATGTCCATGGATGAAGCGGTTCCGCACCGGGACACGGCACGGCGATGAGGTCGACTTTGGTCTCATTGTAGCCATGACCGCCAATATCACCGTCAATGACAGCCCAGCCGGGCTCCGAGTCGGCCAACGTGACGGCGCTGCCCACGGTGGGTTTGGAGATGTTGCGCAAGTTGGTCATGATGGGATGACCTTGCAGGATCTTCCTGGCTTCATCACGGGCCCTTTCTTGCGAGGATCGGCCGGCAAAGGGGTCTTGGCCGGAAGGTGGTTGTTGGTGGTGGTGAGGCGGAAGGCCGACCGCCGCCGTGACGGCTGCTGCCGCATTCTCGAACTCGCCGGTGGCCGTCCCACTGCGACTCCCCACTGTCGGCGGTCGGGTGGGCGGCCGTAGCGGTTCCAGCTCTACAGCCTTGTCAGTGGAGCCGCTAGAGCCATTGTTGTCCATAATAGCACCCAACTGTGCTGAGCAGATCGGATCCTGTATTCTTCAGAGTCTTGGTTTTACAGGTAAAAGAGCAGCACAAGGTTGGGAACAAGGTCGAGAGATGTTGCGGTGGCCAAGACCGACAGAGTTGTGGAAGCAGACTTGGGACTATTTAGTTGGGAAAAGAGACCACGGATAGGCCAGCCAGCAGCGGTAAAGTGCTGCCAAGATAGCTGCCAAGAACAGCTTGAGCAGTCTATATCAAGCGTTGACCACACTTGCGCACACCAACCGCCCACCACCAGTCCAGGAGAGGCAACCGTCCAGGGGGGCGGATTTTCTGACAGAGGCGGGATTGGTCCGTAGATGGTAACTGACTGGATCAGTGGGTCGCGAGGGACCGGCAGAGGCATATGGTGCGGACCGAGAGGTTCTGGAAGGTGATAAGTCGTGTGTGTGAAGTTCGCTGAAATATCTTTGGCAAAGACCCCTCTCTAGCTGTGGAGGACTGCTGAGAAGAGAGCTGTCACTGGACGTCTGGCTGCGAGCAACATGGAAAGGGTTTAGCTTGGTCGATCCAAGCTCGAATGTCTTTACCGCCTTCCATGCCGCCCTCGCGCACCCGGTGCTGGGGACGAACGGGACGGAAAGGTGGGCAGCTGATGGAACTGATGAGCACCGATGAACACACCTCGAAAGTGTGTGGGCGAAACTTGGTCATGATCGTGGGGTCCTCGGTAACGTATCTGTTGCTGCCAACTGTCGGCTAGTTCGTTGCTTTTGTTGCTCACTTTTTTGCTTTCTCTCCTATGAAAAATTAGAAGATCTCGCGAGACAACGTCAACGGATGCCAAGTACAAGAGATGTGATGTTTCAGTCGCAGAGGCCTCAGAACCTGTATGGTCATGTAAAATGTAATGTGTGATATGATATGAGCTAGCTGATGTCATTCAGTTGGACTGCGTGAGATGTGATGAATGATCATAAGGTAAGAATCCCGTCGTTCAGTCAGCTTGTCTGTTGTATGTTCCAGAAATGGGTACCAGTAGTCTTGGCTCGACTATAGGACCCTCGACATGTAGTTGTAGCGCCAATATTCACTGCGCAGTATCTTGGCAGGCTAATCCCAGCTCGAATCGAACTGCCCTGGATGGGGACGACGTCGACATCATGTGTGCCTGAATGCGGGCTTCCTGATGATCTGATAACGAATCTATTGTGACCTGCAGTCATCAGTTTGCCCAGAGCGCCTGATATTCCAAACACTGCAATGTCAACTTGTGAAAGACATACACTAGGTTGTACCATACTCTGAAGAGTCTCTGGTCTGTCAGTCTTTTTGCAGTCCTCTTTGTCTTTAGGCGCAACATGTGTGGTGCCGAACCACAAAGTACTGATGACATTGTTGCCGTTGTTGGCACCAAATCAATTCTTTCTCTTCTTGTCACAAACTGGAACGGCTCTTGACAGTCGTTTGATAATCCTCTCCAGCCAAGATCAACTCGGCTCAAAGAGATGGTGACTGGACTCAGGGTCTGACTGATGATGCCTTTCTTGAAGGGGAAGCGTTTGTGGATGAGCTACAGACGGGTGGGAGTTCTTGAGATGAAAGTGGAAAGAATTCAGCTTCGTCTGTAAGAAGCCGCGAGAGTAACAACGGACGGCGGCTTTCACTCCGATCTAGACATAATGCCCAGGAACTGAAGTTGAAGACGGGAAGCGCAACAAAGATCTATGGTAGTGTTACAGTATACGGAACATGACGCACGAGCCACCCTTCAATCCCAGGTCCTGCCGTTGTGCTGCCCTCTTCCATCTCTTCAAGTTGCCTGCCCGCATTGCCTGCCGGTGACCGCTGCTCGCCTTGGCAATAGTGTACATAGCATGTACCTAGGTAGGTAGGGTAGTGTAGAGGTAGAGGTAGAGGGGGTAGGTACCTACCTCTCCCTCCCCAACCTCAAGTACCTACCTACCGCCCCGTACCGCACTGACACCCAACTAACTCTGTTGGCCTGTTGCCTGCTGCACTGGCAGTTGGAGGGGAGGCACCTGGGGGGGAACGGGCGCGACACGGGACGGGACCTACCTACGGTACCTACCTCTAGGTAGAGGTACCTACCTTACCAGGTACTGCGCCGGGTGCTGTTGAATGAATGCCGCCCGGGGCCTGCACAACCGCAGCGTTGTTCTTTCTCACCTCAGAGGAGTGGACCCCCAACCCGAGCTGCGGCAACCGTTGCCTTGCGCTGTGAAAGTGGAATGCGCCAACCTCACACGTCGGAAAAAGCACAACGACGGGACCACTCCGGGCTTGGAGCCAACCAGACTCGAATCCAGTCCATCTTTCTCTCCTCCCCCTTGACTTGTGATCGCAACTCCGCAGTCCAGAGCCCCGACCAATATCCAAAACATAACCGTCGACGCCGCGCCCGGCAGCCCCGCTACGTCCGCACGCACTTTGCCTCGTCCTTAGTGTTGTCGAGCCAGCCGATACCCCGACCGCCGCCGTCAAGAGACAAGACAGAGAGCCCCTCGCTCCGCCGCGCCGCCGCCGCCGCCGCCGACTGAACTCACGACGCCTCGCTCACCCGAACCCTACAAAGTGACGGAGATCTCGAGGCTGAGCGATACCGTACCAGACCAAGTCTCGTTTTTACGGTCATTTATCACCACCACCACCACAACACACACACACACACACACACACCAATACCGACTTTGTATTACATACTAGACAGAACTACCACCAGCACCACCACCACCGAAGTGAGCATTTACCTACCCACGTATTCAATTATCTGGCATAGTCTCCGTCCTTTGCGCGCCCCCCTCCACAACCCCCCCTCCCCCTCCCCCCTCCCTCCTCTTCATCCTCCTCCTTGTTGGCCGTCACAAGCACCAGCGCCCGGGACCACTACCACCGACGTCCACGTCTGCAACTCCGTGTCAGGACAAGCGAGGATGGGACGCGGTAGTCAAGTAGTGTGCAGAGTGAAAGAGGTAGTTGCTCGTTGGATCCCCCCGTCTCTGCAGCTGCCAGGTACACCTACACTACTCTCTGTGTGCCTGCCGGCATTCATCCCCGAGCACAGGTACCACGTCTAGCCTTGAGTGGCTACCTACCTCGCGTCTACCTACTGGATGGTGGTTCCACGACGGAGAACTACTCCAGCTTCATGCTACTTCCAAGCAATCCGTCTCCCAACTCACCTCCGTTCCCGTCCCTACATTCATCGTCATCACAGTACCACCTTCCCGAGCTTCTACCATACTACCTACCTCTAGGCCGATGGCGCTAGTCACAGCAACCTCAATCACCCCAGTTCAAAAGTAGCCCCACCAGCACAAGTCGAAGCTCCCTGACCAACATCCCAGATATCCAGATTTAGTTGCTCTTGAGCAATCCATCACCGAGGACACGCACATCGATCCCTCGCAAGTGGGACCCCGAAACCGACTCGTTGAAAAAAAAAAGGTACGCTTGCTGCTGTCACTCCCGCATCCACGTCCGCGCCATCATCTCGTCATCGCGAACCGCGCCGCGACCGCTTCCATCGTCCGTCTCCCTGCTGCCACAGCCTGCGATCGCGGCCAGCCTCGTGACTACTACCCTCTGCCTCGAGTCACCGTATTGCCCCAGCATTATCCACTCGGCTCGGGCAACCTGTCCACAACCAGATCTATCCGCAACAACAGCTGCGCCGAATCGTCCTCCGTCACCCCCTCCACTCCGTTATTACCACGCTGCCCACCCTCGACCGTGCTGTCTATACACGTGCTTTGAGCTTCGCTGACCTGGCCTTGTTCCTCCCTACCAGATAGTTAATGAGAACGGCATGGAAGGGTTTCGGTCTTACTTTCAGCGGTTAGTGGTCGGCAATGCCGGCCAAATCTTTCCGACCCAAAAATGGCAGGGCGTCAACTCGTCCACCTACCATCAGCTCGTCGCAGAGGTGAAGAAGCTATCACAAGACTTTGAGCAGTCCAGGAGAATTGCCGAGGCGATTGAGACAGGCACAGAAGACCTCTTCCGCGACTTTGATCTTTCCACCTTCATGGAACATTTCAAGCTCGATGCTTTTGAAAAGACTGTTCTAGCGCTTGCCTTCAAGCTTGGGAGCAAGCCCGACCTCAAGACCAAGGGTAGGCCTTCCCATTGCCTCTCCCCGGCTGCTTTCGTGGCCTCGGCCCGTTGTTTGCTGACCCCAGATCCTTCCATCTAGCCGACGCCATCTTATCAACAAACTTCCCCATGTTTGGCAACATTCTCAGCAAATCGTCCGGCACGCATACGATGCTTGGACCTGATTTTATCGCTGGGTTGCTCGATCGCTTCATTCAAGTCCACCCGCCCAATTTCAACGCGGCAGCAAAGAAGGAGTTGGAGCATAATGTGCAGTCTCGATACATCCAAGGAAATCCCGATTCGAACCCGCTGCCTCCCTCTCAAGTGCTGTCCGCACTTGATCTAATGCGACTATTGGCAGACCGACCCCCGAATGCCCTGACTCTCTACATCCACAAGACCGGGCGAGACTTCACCGAGATTGAAGAGACTTGCTATAACTACCTCCGGAATCGTCCGGCGAACTGCCAGTTGAGTGAGGAGCAGGTATCCCACGCGCTCATGTATACGACCATCAGCCAAACCCCTCCGCATAACCCTTCGGTTCTTGTCACGGCTCTCAGGCGTGTTCTGCCAGGTACCTTCAGATGGCAGGATGTGGTCTCGTACTTTGATCACAGCGGTGCCCGAATCACTGCGCCCCAATTTCTTCGTCTCTACAATGCTCTGCTGCCGATAGCGCAAGACGACAGCCAGGGTTTTGATATTCAGCGGCTATGGGGTGGCGAGTGGGAAAACCCAGAGACTCAAATGTCCTTTGTCTGCGCATACACCTCACTGCTGCCTGAACAGCTGGACGCCACCACCATCCCGGGCCTGAAGCCGACCTTCACCTTGGACGATTATGCACAAGCACCCCAGATGATCCGGGAAACGGCCGCATATGCAGTCAGGCATCCCTTGGTATCCGAAGCGGCCATGTCTGCCATCTTCAACGTCGCCCTCCACTCTACACACGCCTCCAAGTGTACCGAAGCCAAGCGTCTTTTCCAGGATGTCGTCGTTCCCCAAGTGGCCATCTTTGTGGTCTCGGCCTTCAGGGTGCCCAAGCCTTGGCCCAAGCTAGCTGAGGACGCCCTGGTTGACTTGTTCATAGAGTCGTTATGGGCAGCCAAATCACCCGAGACCGATTTTGTGATGAATAGCCTGTGGAGGTGGGACAAAGATTGGGTCAAAATGAG